TGTTCCTGTGTTATCTGTTGGGAGCTGCACTCTTAAGCCAACATTTAAGCAGGTGAGGATCTGCAGTTTTGAATCAACTTGTGAACTGATGAGCAGGTGAAAAGCTGCAGTCATTCTCCCTATGTTAATGTTGAACTTCGTTGGTAGAGTGCATGACAGTTCCATTTCCAAGATGGAATAGACAAAGCAACACACATTGATTGTTGTAGAACTTCAGGACATAATGTTCATAAATGTCCTGATTTGTTGAAGGATGAAAATGATATTCAGGACATATTTTTCTGAAATGTCCTGAACTTCTGGAAATCTAGACACTAAACTGAGATTTCCAGAAGTTAAGTATATTTTAAAAATTTATGTCCTTAATATTAGATTCATACTTCAAACTTTCAGGACGTTTCAAAAAATTATATCCTGAAGTTTACTTGTACCAATCTCATTTTCAAAATAAGATGTAGCAAGCTGCAGGCGTCAAGTTTTACAAAGAAAAGTACTTTCTTGTTTACTTACGGCAAGAGTATAATCCCATAAACAATAATTGGTCCGATAAAGAAAACTTGAACTCCCAACAAAAGAAAAAGAAACAAAGAGCACGTAAGCACAAAGAAACTTTAAAAATTCAGGACATTTTTTATATAACCATATGCTAAAGCTTACTTGCTCAAATAAAAACAATCTAAATGAATCCAATTTATAGCAAAAACTTAAAAGACTAGATAAACATAAGTGGATATATCTATAATTCTCTATGCTTCTGTCACGACCCAAATTTCTCTTCGTAGGATGTCGTGACGACACCTAGTCTCTAAGACTAGGTAAGCCTAACACCTACTGAATAAATAGAAGAATTTGACCAACAATTAATAATGATGAAATAGAACCTTATTACACAACTTACAATTCCCAAAAACGTTAGTACAAGTCATAAGCTCTACTGAGTTTACTAGGAAAATCTCTAAATACAACTGTTTGAAATGGAAGTTAAACAGTACAAGTACAAAATCAAAGGGTGACTCCGAGGCCTGCGAACGTGACGGCAGGTTTACCTTGAGTCTCCACAGCTCGACCAGCTAGCTAATAATCAACAACAACCGTGGTACCTGGATCTGTACAAAAATGTACAGAAGCATAGTTTGAGTACACCACAGCGGTACCCAGTAAGTATCAAGACTAACCTCGGTGAAGTAGTGACGAGGGACAGTCAAGACACCTACCGGAATAAATATCTTGAACAAGTGTAAAGGTGAACTAGCAGAGAAACAATATTAATATAAAGCTAAGCAGGATAAGAAACACAAAACAATACTTGCAATGATACATTAATAACAACAATATTTAACGGGAAGCAGTCAAGTAGTAATGCCTTAGAGTAAGCTGGACACAGTCTAAGTCCGGTGAAATCAAATAAAGGAAACCCAGCAACAACTCAATAAGAACAACCGTTTTCACACCATATATGTTCGACCATTTCCACGAGGTACCGAACCTCAAAATCATAGCTCACGGATCCCAATTCTTGAACCCTAATTACTTGGCATCTTGTGCCCGCATTACAATTCATAATGGACGACTTACGTGCCAAGAGAACAACTCTCACACAGAAGGCAAATAGACAAGAGTACATGTAATGGTCAACAACATCAGGATTTCTCTTCTAAAACGATAGGGTAATTTAACTACGTGTATGCTTGTGCAAGTATGCTACCACAGTTCAAGTCAATCGATAAGAGTAGAGACAATGAATGGCATATAAGAAACGATCACCACAAATTGTACAGAGTATTAAAGCAGCAATGAAGTTGAAACAACGACTAGCACAACAAAGTTAGCTACACAGAACCAAACAAATAATGCAACATGGAGGAAGACAATTAATAGTATGCTAAGAAAACAACAATCAAAGACAAGTGCACAGAAAAAAGGGAATTGACAACAAAGCCCTCCCGAGGTACCGCCTCGTAGTCTCAAATCGTAAATGAATCACAACGGCACGTCAGAAACAGTGGCGGACCCAGGATTTTACGCAAGCGGGTTTAGTCAAAGACGAAGGTGTCTAATAGCATAAGTGGTAACTTGGTATCGGGTATGACACATAGGGTTTGATCATTTTATTATCTTTTTTGCTCTTGGTACTCTTTAATTTTAACAAAACTGAAAATATTTTATGAAGGTTAAAAAAAAAATTATCTCTATTCTAAGAAATTTATCTATTTAATTTAACAAATTTTACTTCAAAAAATTTAATTTAACAAATATTTATTAACTCCAAGATATTTAAATAAATCTAGAGTTTTCCTTGTTACTAATAAGAAGCTATTTACAGAGATAAGAGAAGAGAAATAAAAGTCAACGAAATAGCAAAATGACATAGGAGAGAACATGAGAGTAATAAATTTGAAGGATGATGTTTAATTTGAAACAAAGATGGTCTTGGCCTTCAGTTGCACACACTCCATTCAAGTATGGATTAAAAAATGAATTGGGAAATTCCCCAAATTGGATTCGATCCTAGTACCTCTCTCGCACTTTGAACCCACTCGACCACCTCCACTGGGAGCATTTTTGTGTTAAAGCGGGTTCAAAAGTTTTTTTATAGTAGTAATTTTCCTCTGTTAAACGTAATATATCAATATATGCAGTATAATTTTTCAACAAAGCGGGTTCAACTGAACTCCCTTGATACCATGTGGGTCCGCCCCTGGTCAGAAACCTCATGCAAATAATAACAATTGCACGGTAGAAACCTCGTGCAAACAATAACAACCGCACGGTAGAAAACCTTGTGCTATAATAACATCCGCATGCTAGAAACCTCATGCCACACAATACTGAATACCACAACAACAACGATAATAACACAAGAGTACAACAAGTAATTCAACTCAGGAACTCCAAAAAATAAAAAGACGGAAGAACGAACTCACAAGGAAAGACACAACAGGAGATAATGGTACAACATAGTAATAGCTCAACAAGGAAGAGATATTGTGTAGCAATGATCCCACATAAGTACAATTCAATGATAAGAGGGATAACATGAATCGATGATTCCAATTAAGGGTAAGTCAACAATGATAAGGGATAACAAATCTTCACTTAGGGTGGAGAAATTACGAAAGAGATTCAGCAAATTCAGTTAAGGATAAGCAGATTATGGAAAGGATAATAATAACTTCAATCAAGGATAAGCAATTACGAGAAGGATAGCATAGCAATAAAAGAGGCAACAACTTCAGTCAAGGCACATAAGAGTTTAATCGGCAATAAGGATAAAACATGGAGCAATTAATTCCAATTAAGACACGTAAGGGTGAATTTTGTAAATGGGGGATTTAACATAACAAAACAACTCCATATATAATGAACATAAGAACCTAAGAGCCTTAAACGATCAAATTTCTACAAAAAATCCCGAGCACGTACTCGTCACCTCGCGTACACGGATTTCACATGACACAATTAGCACCAAAGACTCAAATCCTAAGGGGTAGTTTCCCCCATACAAAGTTAGGCAAGATACTTACCTCGAAAAAGCTAGACCGTTACTCTAAAAGACCTGCTCAAGTGAAACAACCTCCGGACGGCTCAAATCCCAATGATTGTCTTGAAAAACCCATGAAAAATCTCTCAAAATTGAGGTATACAACTTAAAAATATGGTGAAAATGGCCAAACCCTCGACTTATATGATTCTTCCCAAAACTTTCGCATTTGCGGACAACGAAGCGCATCTGCGCTCTCGCATTTACGAGAAAACGTTCGCATCTGCGAACTCAACTGGCCAGCCCAGTGACCGCACCTGCGCAAAAGTAAGCCGCACTTGCGACTTTGCAGAAGCACACAAGTAGTCGCAGAAGAGGACATCTTTGCATTTGCGATCGCTGGGCCGCAAAAGCGGCCATCACACATGCGTCAATTACTCCGCAAAAGCGAAGCCCCCCCCTCCCAAGGCCTCAACATCGCAGAAGCAACAGAAACTTCACAGAAGCGGCTCCGCATCTGCGATCAAACCTCCTCAGATGCGGATACACCAAAACACTGCCCAACACCAGCCTTGACCAAAATTGCCAAAAGGATCTGAACCTTATCTGAAACTTATCCGAGCTACTCGGGACCCCGTCCGAATATACCATCAAGTTTCATAACACAACGCGAACCTACTCGAGGCCTCAAATCACATCAAACAATGTCGGAACTACAAATCGCACCATGAATCGAACTTATGAAATTTTGAATATTCCAACTTCTAAAACTCGTGCCGAAATATATCAAATCAATCCGGAATGACGTCAAATTTTGCATGCAAGTTCCAAATGACACAACATAGCTAATACAACTTTCGAAATCGCATTTCAAACCTGATATCACCAAACTCAACTCTTGGTCAAACCCTTCAACCTCCTAAAATTTCAACTTTCCAATATTTTCTCCGAAATGCTTCAAATTACCCTACGGACCTCCAAATCAAAATCTGGACGCACGCCTAAGTCCAAAATCGACATACGAAGCTATTGAAACTGTCAAAACCCCATTCCGAAGTCGTTTACACAAATATCAAATTTCGGTCAACTCTTACCGCTTAAGCTTCTAAAACAAGAATCATTCTTCCAACTTGACCCCGAATCATCCGAAACTGAACTCGGCCATACACGCAAGTCATAACGCATAATACGAAGCTGCTCGAGACCTTATGCCGCCGAACGAGACTTTAATTCTCAAAACAACCGGTCAGGTCGTTACAGATTCATTGAAAATGGGTGGACTGCTAGAGAATATATACAAGATATTCTATTATGACCAATTTTTCTGCAACGACCACATTTGAACGTTATTTTTGATGATTCAGTAGCTGAAATATGCCTTTTCTTCTGCCTTCTACTAGCGGGACCTTGAAATTTGAAAGTTTAATAATTTGTGACTTAACTCTCTCTGGTACAATCCAAGAATCTGTATATCCTACAGGATGTATTTGTCTTTCATATGTTTTCGGCCAAGATTCCTTTAAGCACCAGTCCGAGCAGAAATTGGACTTCTTGATGTTTCTCTTCTCGATAACTGCAATTGCATGTATACATAATAATTCATCAAATTAAAACTGAAAACAATCACATGTTCTTTTGTTTAAGTCCACCAAGAAAGTATTTCCTTCTTCCTCGACTCTAGAACACCATGAATCAACATGGAAGACCTTCATAGTTGAAAAACTATAAGTTAGTACATTATGTTAAATTATCATTACAATAATAAGCTAAAGTAAGAATATAATACCTACATTTAAAGTAAAAGCTAAATCTATCTTTTTCTTCAATTCCTCTTCTACCCAACATGAAACATCATAAAAAGTTCCTTCCGTTTCATTTCTTTTCTCATAAAACCAACATTGTAGCTTAACTTGGATGAAATCCATCATTCTCAATATAGGCAGCTCCCTTGCTTCTAATAGCACATAATTTATTAACTCAACTATGTTTATTGTGAGCATGTCATATCTTCGTCGTGGACAACAAGAACGCGCCCACCTTTCCGGTGGTTCTTCCATCAAGTAGTCAAAAGTCTTCTTATCAACGTTTGCTATCTCTGACATGTAGAGATCAAATTCTTTGCACATGTATACTCTTGCAGCACTTTGAAAAAGTTTTATGACCTCACTTTTCACTTTTCTTTGCTTTAGGTTCTGCTCCAAATGATAGATACAAATCCCATGGTGGCTTTCAGTATATACCTTTGTGATGCCATGTGCAATAGATTGATGCCTATCTGATAAAAAAAAATTATCACAGCTCCCAATTGCATTGTGAAGCTCACTAAAGTACCACTCATAGGAGTTGTTATTTTCAGATTCTGCAATCCCAAAGGCTAGTGGGAATATTTGGTTATTTGCATCCTTTGAAACTGAAATCATTAAAACACCATGATATTTTGACTTCAAAAAAGTTGCATCAACAGCAATCATCAGTCTACAATAATTCCAACCGGTTATTGATGATCCATATGCATAAAACATATAAAGTAACCTGAAAAAATAAACCAAAATTCAGTACTACTATAAATATTTAGGACCACACACATCAAAGTTAAGGACACCATGTCCTTAACATTCATACTGCACACATGAAGTTAAGGACACCGTGTCCTTAACTTTTACACTGAACACATGAAGTTAAGGACGGGATGTCCTAAAGTTTAAAACAGACTAATAAACTCTTTTTGATTGTTTACATGTTGTCGTCTGTCTTTATGTTAGTGTATGCGTACCGACCAGGCCAGTCATTTTGATTATTATAACCCCGTTCCCCCATTTACTGCTCAATTTATGCTTTACAATCATTTTATGACTTGTCGGGGTAGTTGGTTCGGGTTCGGAAGGAATTCGGAGTGAAATGAGACACTTAGTCTCATAATTTAAAATTTTAAGTTAGAAAAGTGACAGGATGTGGACTTATATGTAAACGACCTCGGATTCAAATTTTGATATTTCCAATAGCTCTGTATGGTGATTTTGGACTTAAGAGTGTGTCTGAAAAATTATTTGGAGGTCCGTAGTGGAATTTGGCTTGAAATGCCGAAAGTTGAATTTTTGGGAAGTTTGACCGTGGAGTTAACTTTTTGATATCGGGGTTGGAATCCGATTCTGAAAATTTGAATATCTCTGTTATGTCATTTATGAGTTGTGTGCAAAATTTGAGGTCAATCGGATGTGATTTGATAGATTTCGGCATCGTTTGTAGAAATTGGAAGTTTCAAAGTTCATTAGGCTTGAATCTATATGTGATTCATGTTTTTAGTGTTGTTGGATGTGATTTGAAGACTCGACTAAGTTCGTATGATGTTTTAGGACTTGTTGGTGTATTTGGTTGAGGTCACGAGGTCCTCGGGTGAGTTTCGGATGGTTAACGGATCAAAAATTGAACTATAACAGCTGCTGCAATTTCCTTCTGCCAGAAATCGAGCCCAAAAATCGAGCCTAGAATCAAGCCACGATCGAGCCCAGGGTCGAGGGCCACGATCAAAGGCAGGGTCGAGGACCAGGATCGAAGCCATGATCGAAGGCCAGGGTCGAGGGCCATGATCGAGGGTCAGGATCGAGGGTCAGAATCGAGGCCCTGGATCGAGGCCCAGGATCGAGACCCAGGATCGAGGACCACGATCGAAGGCCAAGATCGAGGCAGGACCGAGGCTGTCTAGGTAGTATTATAAAGCAGGGGACTTCGTCCCATTCGCCATTTTTGATGAATTGGAGCTTGAGGAGAGGCGATTTTTGATAGATTTTCAAGGAAAACTTGAGGTAAGTCCCTTGTGATCATTTCTGCTCCATAATATTGAATTATCATCGAATAATCCGACTAGATTACATGTTTTTGAGGTGTAAATTGGAGATTTGAACTTAGAAATTTGGAAATAAGATTTGATGATTTGGAGGTCGAGTTGAGGTCGGATTTTGGTAAAATTAGTATGGGTAGACTCATGGTGGAATGTGCTTTCAAGTTTTATAACTTTTGTCGGGTTCCAAGACGTAGGCCCCACGGGAGATTTTTGAGCTAAATTTCGGATTTTTATGGAAAATTTGCATTTTATGGAATTAATTCTAATAAATTTTATTGACTGAAACAAATTATTTATGAATAGATTCGAGGCATTCGGAGGCCGATTTACGAGGCAAAGGCATCGTAGAGTAAAAGAATTTCATGTTTTGAGGTAAGTAACAGTTTTAAATCTGGTCCTGAGGGGATGAAACTCCGAAATTTTGTGTCATGTGATTATTTTGGAGGTGACGCACATGCTAGGTGACGGGCGTGTGGGCGTGCACCGAGGGGATTGTGACTTGGCCCGTCCCATGGAACTGTAAAATTGAATAACTTGTTGTTAGCTATATGCTCTCTATGTGTTGAAGAAATTTGACTGTAAATCTGTTAGAAATCATGCTTAGGCTATGTTATAGTACTGTTGGGACCCGCAGAGGTCGCATACTTGTTAAATTATTTGCTAATTATTGTCTTGTACTCAGTCATGATTTTTCTTACGTATTATACCTCAATCTTTCTTGATATTTGTTGATATACTATGTTATCTTTGTTTGGGCTGATCTTTGTGATTTTTGAGAGCCCGAGAGACTAGAGAGGTTGAGGACTGAGTAAGGCCGAGGGCCTGTCGATGAGGTAAGGATATTATGGAACGTGAGTTGTCCGTGCAGGATATTATAGCACATGAGTTGTCCGCGCAGCACGTGAGTTATCCGTGCAGATTATGGCGATTGGATTATAGGAGCCCCTCCGGAGTCTGTACACCCCCAGTGAGCGCGGGTACCCACTAAGTGTGAGTGATGAGGGCTGAGAGCCGAGTGGTTGAGTTGTTGTGACGAGTGGAGTGACTGTTGCCCTGAGAGGCTGTACTTGCTTTTCATTTGTTGTTGTACTTAGTTGCTATTTGTCATTGTTGTGAAATTCTTTGAAAGATTTTATATCCAGATTACATGAACTTGAACTGTATAAATTGATTTGACTTAAACTGCTGGATTTGAAAGCATGTCTATTCTCTGTTGGAATTACTGGAAATGAACTATAACTGTGTAGCTAGTCACTATCTTCAATTCCTTATTTATTATTGTTACTTACTGAGTTGGTTGTACTCATACTACACCCTGCACTTTGTGTGCAGATCCAGGTGCTTTTGAACATAGCGGGTGCTGATTTTCTCGCACAGTTGATTTTTTGGAGATTTAGAGGTAGCTGCTGTGTTTCGCAGACCTTGTCTCTCCTTCCCTATCTCTTTGTTTATTGTATTTGGTCTTAGACTATTATAGACCGTTTTCTTTTGACTTGTATCCATATTAGATGCTCATGTACTCAGTGACACCAGGTTTTGGGGAGTGTTCGTATCAGTATTTATGGAATTTTATATCGTATTTAAATATTAAAATTTTAAACTTAAGAGAAATTGTATTTTATTGAGATTATCGGTTTGCCTAGTATCGAGATAGGCACCATCATGACAGGTTGGGATTTTGGGTCGTGACAGTATATTCCCGAGTTTTTACTTTTTATCATGTACAAGTAAGAAGACAACAATTCATAATTCTCTTCAGGAGTTCCTCTTATTAAAGCTGAAGCACGTTGAATAGCACGCCACGCCTTGTGATACCCAATGTCTAGTCCATGCAATTTTTGCATTTCGGCCATGACAAAAGCTGGTGTAACTTTAAATCTTGGGTTTCGAAGATTGTCAATAATGTAATCACTAATCAACTTTGAAGTTGCATGCCTTTGATCAGCTTTCATAGTGTTAACTGAGCGGTCATGATTTTTCTCAATCTTTACTATCTTGAATAGTGTTGAATCTTTAATTCTGAAAGCATGCACACACCACCCATACTTTTCATCATTGCATTTCAAAGAATATCTTGTTGAGCTTGATCTAACAACCTTGAATTCAAAATGTTCTTTAATTGCTATATTCGACAAACAGTTAATTATACTCTTCTTTTTGTCAAATATTGATCTCACTTTTATTTCATCCAACAAAGCATTTTCTCTCAATACTGTAGTTGGGGATTCTTTTTGTTTCGACTTTGAACTTCGTCTAGTTAGTTGAGTGGAGGATTTTTCAGCAACTTCTTCAATTATTGGTGCACTCTCTAAGACTTGAATACCAAAGCTTGTTGGTTGTCAATCTCTATAATGCTTTGTCCTTCCACTTGAATATAATTAAATATTTGAAGCACCTCTTCAATTATTGGTTCAGGTTCAACCTCATCTATTTCCATTATCTGTTGGCATTTGTCTTGATTGTCTTGTTGAGTTTCTATGTTGACATGTTCAAAGGTGTTTGTAGAGCCAAAAACTCTTTCCGGAACATCAATAATGAAACGACAGCCCTTGAAGAGTGAATGACTTTTTAGTAACTCTATACATGTGTGAAGATCTAAATCTTTGGATACAAGCATTTCCTTGCGTGTTCCCAGGTTGATATCAAACCATATTATTGCTTCAAACTTGTCTCTATCCAATTCAATAACTTCAAAGACCTGGTTGACGAAATCATCAAATCGAATTGCCTCAGGTACTAGAACAAGCTTTGTTTGATGCTCCAGATACTTATAGTCTGTGGTCCATCTTCCATTGAAAGCAACTATAATACATATTGTATCCATCCTGCAAGTCAAGAAAAGGGAAAATTCAGGACATTATGTCCTTAATATTTATACAATAGTCATGAAGTTAAGGACACGATGTCCTAAACTTTATCAATACAAGTTGTAAATACAGGACACTTTGTCCTTAATATTTTACATAGCAATCGTGAAGTTAAGGACACGATGTCCTAAACTTTATCAATACAAGTTGTAAATACAGGACACTTTGTCCTTAATATTTTACATAGCAATCGTGAAGTTAAGGACACGATGTCCTAAACTTTATCAATATAAATTGCAAATACATGATACTTTGTCCTTAATATTTTACATCGCAGTCATGAAGTTAATGACACGATGTCCTAAACATTATCAATACAAATTGCAAATACATGACACTTTGTCCTTAATATTTACACAGCAGTCATGAAGTTAAGGACACGATGTCCTAAAATTTATCATTACAAGTTGCAAATACAAGACACTTTGTCTTTAATATTTACATAGCAGTCATAAAGTTAAGGACACAATGTCCTAAACTTTATCAATACAAGTTGTAAATACAGAAAACTTTATCAATACAATGCAATCTAAGAAAGGAAAATAAAAATATCAAATCCCTTGCATCTTATTCTCCAGCAACCAAATAAAAATCCACACAAACACATAAAAGCATATAAAGATATCTAAAATTTTAGAACTTACTGTAATTTTATGGTGAAATTTGGATGAGAAGGTTGAATTCTCTAGTTTGAAATAGGAGGAGAAAGGAGAAGAAAACCTTCTGTAATTTGGACGATCAAAGGTTTATGCAGCAGGTAAAGTTTGAGCGAAGGTTTCTCTCCTAAACTCTTTGTACGTAAATAAGCTGAGCGAAGGAGCGTAGGTTTCAGGGAAATTATTATAGGATAGAGGTATTTTCGTCCGGGTGGGTAAAAGTTTATTAAAGCAGTGGCTAAAGACTAAAGACATTTTAAATTGTGGCTTAAAAGTAAATACATCTCTTATTAGTGGCTAACTGTGCACTTCCCCCAATTTTATAACGTCGATGGTAATATTGGACCAAAAGTATAACGGATGGTATAAATGATCCTTTTCGCATAGTAAAGGGTATTTTTGACCATTTTACCAATTTTAAATACAACTAAGATTTAAAAATTTTAGTAATAATTTTATATATA